TAAAATTATGTTTTAAAACTATCGCTCACTTGTTATACACTGTTCTGGGGAAAAGATTGCAGACATGATGTTAGAAAATTGCATCTCTGCTAGAAAATTGGCTATTTAAAAAAGTGAATTTTATGACAAAAATAAAGTCAGCGAAGATGGTAAGGGAAGACATGGGTCTCACTGGTTCTTGCACTTTCTAATCCTAGCATGGAACTCACATCACTAGGCAGCTAATTCAAGAGACCTTCAACAGGGGCCTGGGGTGTGGTGAAATGCTACAGTGCTTGTCCATCATACCCAAGGCCCTGGGGTTCACGGGAGAGGGGAAGAAGTACAGGAAGGGGGGGCAGAAGGGGTCAGAGGGAAAGAAGGGAGGGGAAAATTTTCAGAGTATAGATTTTTTTTTATTAAGTTTCCTAATCAACACTAGACTCGCACTGGTAGTGTGGCCGTTTCCTTATGGGAAATGCTTGAGACCAGAGTGTTTCAGATTTCGGGTATTTTTTTCTTCCTGTTAGAACATTTGCAGCCTTCACCTTTTACTCATCTCTAACCTGCAAACCTCAAATCTACACTTGATCTTAGCCCACCTGAGAAGAACTAAAACTCTCAAATCTAAACCTTTAGACTGTCATTTTGGCACTCAAAATACTCTGGACTTTTTATTATTTTTTATGTGTTTGGGTGTTTTGCTCCCATGTATACCTGTGTACCACCTCCATGCCCAGTGCCCACAGTTGCCAGAAGAGGGAGCTGGAGCCCCTGGAACTGAGGTTACAGATTGTTGTGGGTATTGGGAACTGAACCAGGTCCTCTAGAAGAGCGGATAGTGATCTTAGCCACTGAGCCATCTCCCCAGACCCAGTATCCTCGTTGCTAAAATAGGAAACATGGTGTTTCCAAGAAGTTACAAGAATTTAATGGGACAACCCATATACAATCCAACACAGTGCCTGGCAGACAGTAAAGCAATTTCACTCCAGATTTAATAACTCTCTTATTTGCTCTTTACATATTAATTAAAAAAAAAAAAAAGAAAACTGTTCATGGCTGTGCATGCATATAACCAAAACTCTGGCGGGAGGAGGGGAAGTATTAAAGATAGGCCAGCCATCTTAGAAAAAACAGCAAGCTTCCAGTACAGTGAGAGAACCTGTCTCAAAGTAAGAGGGCAGGAAACAATGGGGGAAGATTTCTGACATCTTCTTCTGGTCTTGCACACACTCACAAGTGCATATCCCTGCATAGCCATCCCTTTGACACACACACAGAGTGGTGATTTGGAAGAACAGCCTCCAAAGCGAATAGCACTATTAGGAGGTACGGCTTTGTTGGTACGGTATGTTTGTAGGTCTAGTCTCGTTAGAGGAAGTGTGTCACTGTAGGATAGGCTTTGAGGTACCCTATGCTCAGGGTATCACCTGTTGCCAGCAAGATGTAGGACTCTGGCACCATGTCTGCCATGCTCCCTGCCATGATGATAAAGCACTGAACCTCTGAATTGTAAGCAACCACTTCAATTAAATATTTTCCTTTATAAGAGTTGCCATGGTCATGATATCTCTTCACACACACACACACACACACACAGAGAGAGAGAGAGAGAGAGAGAGAGAGAGAGAGAGAGAGAGAGAGAGAGAGAGAGAGAAAGAGAGAGAGAGGGAGAAAGAGAGAGAGAGGGAGACTGAGGGAGAGAGAGAGAGGGAGGGAGGGAGGGAGGGAGAAACAAATACATACATACATAAATAAAAGACAGTTCACTTAGGTCAAATACCATTTCAATAAATTCCAATAAAGCTCAGCCTATAAACCCTTTTCTACAATAAATCAAACTATTTTTGTGTTTGATTAAAATTCAAAATTACTTATCAAATGGTTTTTTCTTTATTAATTAAATGAAGAGTTTGGGATTTATTTTCTACTTTCTTATTTTGCTCTTCAAGATTCACCTAATCGACTTTTTTCTTCCTCCAATGAGTCTAAAAAAATTCTCTGAGTAAACTCACTGTGAAGCAGTTCCAGACCTACCCTACTGCAATGGCAGGCACAACTCATGAGCTATGTGGCAGGGCAAAAGGCCAAGGGCCTCTGGAGGCCTGTATGGCCCCAAGGAGTCAGTGACCATGAAAACAACCTTGCATGAAGCCCGCTCCCTGACCAAAGGCATTATCGGAGGATAGAAAGCCATATGCAACTGTTACAATGACATTTGAGCTGTAAGGAACATCTGAGAGGTACCCAGACCCTGACGGCCTGCATGATAAACCTCCTGAGGAGGTTTATTTGTCAGAGGCTGAAAAGCTCTGACAAATAAACTAACCAAACAACATGCTTTAAAGGCAATCAGCATCAGATGTTAAGGAGAACAAAATGGGACAAAAATGAATGCAGAAGAGTGCAAAGACATTGCCTTCAGGTGTCTGCTGAACAGATTTCATTTTCTATATAGGGGCTCATTAGAAAAAAGTACACACAATCCCAAAGACTTCATGTTTGGTGCAGCTGGAGGTCAGAAGATGGTGTTGGCTTCCTGGAAACTATAGTGATAGACAGTTGTGAGCTGCCATATGGGTGCTGGGAATTGAAACTGGGACTTCTAGTAAAGCAGCCAATGATCTTAATTGCTGAACCATCTATTCTACATTCATTTTTGTGACTCTTTTATTAGCATTTAAATATGTTAATTTGACACAGGACAGTATTTTTTGTGTGCATGAGCCAGACATCTACTTTTAGTGTCCACACACACACACACAAGCACGTAGGCACGCATGCACGTGCGCGCGCATGCACACACACACACACACACACACACAGCTTCTCTGTATACCCAGGGCTGTCCTAGCATCATTTTTCTAAGGTGCTGACTACCTTGTTTTTTGAGACAGTCTCTCCCAGGTTTGGAGCTCATAGGTTGGCTGAGCAGTGAGCTTCAGGGAACCTCCTGTCCCTGTTTCTAAGGATTACACACATACCACTACATCCAGTTTTTTCAATGGGTTCTGGGGAATCGAACTCAGATGATAATGTTTGCACAATACATACTTTACTAACTGAGCTAGCTCCTTAGCTTGAGTAGAATATCCGTTAACAAAAGAATATAAATTCTGATATAACTATAAGCATACACTGAAGAAGCAGCAATAAACCTTTTTAAGTATTATAAAACCTTTCTTTGCATAGGGCATACTATTGGTAAGTCATGTTACAGGTTTAATAGCTCTAATTTTTTTCCTCATAAAAATTTAAGGACTAGCTAATTATGTACAATTAAGTATAGCATCATATTTAATGCATTGTTACATTCAGTTTTAAACTATTCATTGGGATTATCAAGTATTATTTGAATTACATGATGAAAATTTTGAGTAGAATACAGTAGGCAAGCTCTGTGTGTGTCAGGTATGTGGTGTATGTGTGTGCACACGTGTGCAATTGTGCTCACCAATGCAGGGGTATACAGAGGCCACAGGCTGATGCCAGGATGTATCCTCTACACCTCCACTTTTTAAAGACAGGGTCTTTCACTGAACATGCAGCTAACCATTTAGGCTAGACTGAATGGGCACAAGACCCAGGACCTGCCTGTCTCTGTCCCCAGGACACATACCACCATACTAGACTATGATCTGGGTACATGGGGCTTGGGTCCCATGCATACAAAGTAAACACTCTAAACACCAAGCCATCACCTCAGGCTTTCTGTATTTGTGTGTTGTACAAGTGTGTATGTGTGCGTCTGCACATACACATTTGTATGAGGGTCAGAGTTGACAAGAGATGTCTTTGTCACTCTGCCCTTATTTATTTATTTATTTGCTGGAGAGGAGGTAGCATGTGACACTGGTGTGTGTGTGTGTGTGTGTGTGTGTGTGTGAGAGAGAGAGAGAGAGAGAGAGAGAGAGAGAGAGAGAGGACAACTTGTGGGAGCTGGTGCTCTCCTTTCACTTTTATGTGGATTCCAGGGATCAAACTTATGCTGTCAGGCTTGGCAGCAAAGGCCTTTACCTGCTCAGTCATTTTGTTGGCTGCCTTAGTTGAGACAGGGTCTCTCACTGAACCTGGGCAGTTTCAGCTAGCCTGGCAGGCCAGCAAGTAGTTCTGGGGACCCACCTGACTTTGCCTCCCAGCACTGGAATTACAAATGTACATGGCCACCCCTGGCTTTGAGTGAGTGAGTGAGTGTGTGTGTGTGTGTGTGTGTGTGTGTGTGTGTGTGTGTAACTCAGGTCCTCATGTCACAAGCTTCTTACCTATTGAGTTATCTCCCTCGTACCAACTTTCTATATCTTAAACTCAGAGAATAGAAACCATTAATTATATTGCAAAGTCTCTTTGAAAGTTACCCACCAAGCACACATACTTACCTTTCAAGCAGTATGGTCCTATGGTGAAGATGCCCTTGAAGCTGACAGCTTCATTAGGCTTTCTCTGGTCCAACACAGGTAGGTGTCAGATGAGACACAAGAATGAAATGAGGGCAGAATACTATACAAGCACCTGCTACTTCATCCCAAGTATACCAAGGACCTACTGCAATCTCACCATTACAAATGGTTGAGAGACTCAAAAAGGCCAAAATTCTTTGGACTTTTTGATGATTACATATTCAAAAACATAGCCCCTCTGCCTCAGTCCCTCTCCACTGTGCTTGGTCGGAGGTGACACATAAGGGAAGACTACCACTAACCAATCATGAATTATGTGTTCAGTGACACCACCTATGTGTCCCTCTCCTGTCCTCTGACCAAGTACTCACCTCCCCCATTCCTGCTTTAACCACTGATTAAAGTCAACAACTGGTTCATTCTACAGGCAGCAGAGCTATCCATAACAGGGCAGAAGGAAATTCTCACTCGAACTTCTAAGAAAAAAGCCACTTCCAAGCTAAATTAAAATGCGAAAACCCCAGTTGTTGATACTAAACACAGAACACAAGGAGGACACTGCAATTTTAGACATTTGGCCAGACTTCAGAAGTGTGACCACCGCTGTATTAAGAGACTCACATGTGGCATTTCTGTAGAGAAGGAAAGGGTCCTGGAGCTGGAAGTCCAGGTCTTTAGTAATGGGCTCTGTTCTGTTTTCCATGCTGAGCCTATTCATAATGGTGAATCCATGCTGTGGAGAGGCAGACCTGGAAATCACGGAGCAGGGGAGAGACACATTGCTAAGCAGAGCATACCTGCAGTGTAGCCACATTCTGTCCTGTCTATTAACTTCACTGTGTACTTTCATTTTCCCATAAGCAGTCGGTACACATAGGAAGCAACATTTCTTTACTCCTGGGATCTTCTACCAACATCTATGCAGCACAGACTGCCCTAAAGTCACTGTTTTTAACTGTATGTGGGGCTGTGCAGATCTCGTGTGTTTTCTTATCTCCCTGCCTATGTTGTACATTCCTTTAAGACAAAGATGGTAACTGCTTTAAAAAATCTTACTGGCAGGGGCTGGAGAGATGGCTCAGAGGTTAAGAGCACTGACTGCTCTTCCAGAGGTCTTGAGTTCAATTCCCAGCAACCACAAGGTGGCTCACAACTATCTGTAATGGATCTAATTCTCTCTTCTGTTGTACATGAAGATAGAGCACTCAAATATATAAAATACATGAATAAATAAATCTTTAAAAAAATCTTACTGGCAGATACTTTCAAAGGGTTTAGAGTTAAAAGTGTACACATCACTACAAAAAGAAAATTTTCATTGAAAGTTTAAATGTTAGTTTGAAATTGAGAATTTCAGGAAAATGAGGCAACTCTGTCAACAAACCTATGAGATGAGGTACAAACTAAGGCTATGTAATAACAGCCCGGAGGGCAGATGCTTCGGTCTCTTCAATACCAAGCAAATGGCTTTCTGGACAAGCTACTGTAAAACTTCTCTCCGTAAAAAAAAGTGACCTTTGTGAGTTTCATTTTTCATTCCATTCAATAAATAATGAATGCCTCATCCATCAGGCTCAGGAACCCACGTTATATACGGTGTAAGCTAACAATCATGTGTATATCTGCCTGTGCTGAGGTTGAATTGCATCATAAGTCAACCAAGAAACTTCCAGTGACACTTAAGTACAACATCCCCAAGTAGCATCCATGCATTCAAGTTAAGCTAGGCTGCTTATCAGTAACAAATAGGAAGAAAATTAGTTTTATTTCACTCTTAACTACTTTATCAAGTACAACACTGCTACTTTGCCACATATAGGATTTTATTTTTAAAGACCCAACCTTTTAATTGATGGAAGGAAATCTTTGATGAGCTTATTCTACAAAGAGGCAAAGCACTGACAGGCATAGCCTCATTCCCAAAGCAGTCATTTCTATTCAAACTCAAGAGAAGAAAAGGCACTCCATAGACTGACAGAGGGCCCTGAACATTATATTCAGAAATGCCAGTGACTGTATCTCCATGAACTCTACCACAAATAGGATGACATGGGAAAGCAGAAGAAACAATTCTTGACACACGATGAGTTACCTTCATGCATTTCAATAGCATAACATCTTATGGCATAAATGGCACGGGACCATACCAGTTTATACAACAGGCCCAGAAACAAAGATGTCAGGTGCACCAAAACACTTCTGAAAGAGAAGTAAAGGTGTAGCATAGACAGCTCTATTACCTTAGCCTGAATGCTGCCATTCAACGCTGAGAAAAAGACCTCACCAGACCAGGCACACTTGTCAATGTGGGAAGGGCAGGTGTACATGTGGGAAGGGATGGGAGCAGCAGATGTCATCTCAACGAGACAGTTTGGGGATCAGGATTATGCAACAGGGAAGGATTAGTTTTCTCAGTTTAATGGTTTTGTAACTGATCATTCCATTAGCAAGATGTAGTATATTAAGAGGTCCTTGAGTACTGGTTGTAGTTCAGTTGGAAGAGCAGTGGCCTAGGATGCACAAAGTCCTGGGTTCCATCTCCAGTATTACATAAATTGGCCCATGGCTGTCATCCTACTACTTGGGAGGAACAGATGTTCAAAGCCATCTTCATGGGTTAGTTTGAGGCAACTTAGTCTACATGAAATACTATCTCAAAAAATAAGATAAAATGCCTGAAAATACAAAGCTATATTTGATTTGGGTACAAAAGAGAAAATAATTGTATAGTTCAGCAGAAAAGTCCTTAAAACATCATAAAAAAAAAAATATATATATTAGTGCATCTCCTCAAAATAATCCTTCTTAGAAATGAGAAATACACACTGTGCTTTAGTTTTTCTCTTTACATTTTACGTTCTCGAGTACTCATGCTGAATAAATCCACGTAGTACTTCTGGAATGTTCTGGAATATAACATAGACTAACATGCTAATAATTCTTGGATATTCACAACCCTAAACACCTGACTTACTTGTTGCTCAGCCTGTGGCCTGGCTAGCCATTCTGTCCTTTCTGTTTCCTCTCCCTGGATGACAGGGCAGCTGACACCTCCCCACATTGTTCCTACACCCCAACTGGTCTCTTAAGGCTATTCTACTTTTGCTTTCGATGTCCCTATTGGCCATAAATTCAAGCATCAACTCACATCCATTTCCCTTTGATACTCCTCTTAGACAGTGATGCCCAAGTGCCTGGATTCCTTAATCTGAATCCACTGAGACCACTGCATAAGTATTACTTCAAAACCCTGAAGACCAAAGGCCCGGGTGGGGGGTAAACTGAAACTTAGCCCCAGATCTTTGACCCCCTCTTCCCCAGCCGCTTGAGCTTGAGTGCCATTCAGTTCAAACCACACCATTTACCTAGAAGCTTCATGTCTCAATGCCACTGTGATCTCTATCCATGCACTTTCATGTCAGCTTCAGTTATTCTGGTCCCAGCTCATCATCTCCTATCTACTTCATGGCAGTCATCCTCTTAACATCCCGCCCAACTCCAGTTCCTTTTAGAACAAGTGCCTCCTCATGATGCTAATACATTGACTCTACGCATTTTCTCACAGCTTATTAAGCATCCTCATGTTCATAAACCTTCAGTTATTCCCGACTGTTAGAAAAATAAACTTCAGAATCCTTAGTCTGCCATTCTATGCTAATGGCATCACTTATGCTAATATAGACCCTCTACATCAGAATAAACTGTCCCTTTAAACGGGAGGCTGTGTCTTTACTTTTGCCTTTCTTTCTGCTGAGACTTCCTTTCCTGAAGCCCAAACCAAGACTGGTCATTCTATAATGCCCCCCACAACCACAGCAGCCTACTGTAGCTTTTATAGCAATCAGTTCTTGGGATGGCATGTCCTGTATTGTGTTTGTTTTAAACTTGAACATGGATAAACATACTAGCATACTTATTCCTCCAGTAAAACTGTTACATCAGTTAGGGTTTATATTAGTTTTGTATTTCATAATGTACTCCCCCTAGGTGACAGAATTCAAGTAAGATACCTATGTAGAAAATTGCATGAATAAAATGGAGTCATTAAGACAACATACATACTGTATGTCTGTGTACATGTGTGATTGATATTACTGGTATGTGATAAAAAGAAATTACTGAAAGCATGAGCTTATTAATTAAATTAATCCTGATCTAATAATGTTATTAACTAGACAATGGAAGACTGAGAAACAGATTCAATCCCAGGGCATGCTTTTTTAAGCAGTTAAGGGTGAAGGAAGGTGAGTCACAAAGCCCTTTCCAACCACTGCCTAATTTAGCTAGCAGTGTACCTCTAATCTCTTTGGCAGTGCACAGTGTTCACAAACTGTGCAATTCACTGGAATCAAGCGATGAATATGTACTGCTAAACCAAATAGTGAGGTTTAAATAGGAATTACACTCTGAAGTCAGTACCATCAGAATGTGCCAGGTCACATCATGTGTTGTTTCATTCTTCTTGCCAACTAGTAATTTCAGATGAGTTTGGTTGTTGTACTTCTTTGAAATAAAACTGCCCTTCAAGACATGACAAAACTAAGCTAAAATATTTCATAACTTGTTTTTCTAAAAATAAAATACTCTTACCTTGTATAAACAAATAAGGTTCCCTCCACATCAGTCTTCTCCTAAAAATAAAGCAAACACATACCATATGTATGTTCTCTTCATTCTATGGCAGAAAACAGGAACATTTTACAGAGACCAGGAACCACACGCAATTTCAAGTAGGTGAAGTGGCAGTGTAGAACGAGGGGCTACCAGACAGGGGAAGTCAGGGACTGGGGCGCGACCAGAGCCCGCTGAGTGAGTGAGCAGTACTTGGTCACTATTCTTTCCCAAACCCTGAGAGGCCCTCCTGGCTGGAGCAGAAGTGTGATCCAGACTTCATCAGAAAGGGATGGTGAGTGTGCAGCCTTCTCCTCCACTCACCTAACTGAACGCCCAGCAAGACGTCAAATGAACTTTTATCTGCACCTCAATATCCTTCCCTTTATCTTGTGTTCATTGCCGTATCCTGTCACTAGAACAGATGATCTGTCAATAACTGTGCTCTGACTGCCAGACACACAGGATTATGCTAGAGTCTTTAAGTGAGCAAACACCTTCTTGGCATGAAATACTGCAGAGTCACTTTGGCCCAAGACTTGAAATAACATTACACAGAAATATTACCAAGTTAGGACTCAAGAACTGCCAGAGAAAATCTGGGGGAGGTGGTCAAGTTAGAGGGTGAGCTTGAGTTCCCTCCACGACAGGAGGGATCCTGTTCACCAACACAGCACACATGCAGCTCTTTTCTCAACTAGTGGTCAGATTATCATAACTCAGCATTTAATGTGTGCTTTTGATATTTTCATCATTTAATTTTGGCATTCAATTATCCTACTTAAGGCCCCAGCATTTTATAATATTTATTACACAAATCATTTAAAACTAAGTACTCTATAATTCGGGTGCAAGATATACACATTAGAATAATGTGTTGTAAAGGCACAGAATTGGAAGCATGATCTTTTCAAGTAATCTACTTGGTTACAGCTGTTTTCTCAGAGACTTAGTGCAGGGGCTTGGAGAGTAACTCCGGAGGAGAGGCAGGGTTGTCACCTGGGAGCCCCTCAGAAATGCACATTCTAAGGCCCGAGTAAGCCCATTCAGAGCTGAGCTGACATAGCTGGTGTTTAGACAGCATACAACAGCTTTAAAAGGAAACTGTAAAAGCCAGGTATTTGGTACTGTAAGTTACACTGAAGGGAACTGAAGTGGAGATGGGTGTAGGGATCTATGTGCACACAGTCGTGCTCCTTGGCTATACGACCTAAGCAGCTTCCTACTCTGCAGTATTGACCTGTTCTCTTCTGAATGCAATCAGACCTTTCAGATTATCAGCACATATAAGCTAATTGCTTTCAACTGATTTTCCTTTTTGCTTGTGACAAAAATTCTCTCTACTTCAAAAACAAACAAACAAATAAACAAAAAACCCTATACTCCTTTATTTTAGTTCAGTATAATCTAAAATCAAAATTTTAACTATAACTCACAAAAACAATTCTCAGATTTGAGTCTTGTTTAGAGTTGCTCATGGGAAGGACTTATGGCTCAATAATTACAATATGAGCCTAGAGTGATGTTTCTGCCAGATCACACTGGGATAATTCATTTACTGTTCTGTGTCACCTTCTCCGCTGCAAAGGTAACTTACACAACGCATACCTTTCAATGAAAAAAAAAAAAAAAGCATATTTTAAGAGCTCTTACTAGGCTAAAAGGAGCTCTGGAAATGTATTTTGGTGTTAGGGATGTGCTGGCTCAAAATGAATTTCAAAGGCGGCCAGTTTTTTTTTTTTTTTTGGACTTTCTGTATAAACTGGTGAATTTAGGGTGTGGCTATAGTTAAAACAAATCCTCCAAGTAAGGTGGACATAGCATTGTAAGATCTCAGTTCTAGAGTATTTTAGCCTAAACTCTAAAAATAAAGCACTCTCTCTCTCTCTCTCTCTCTCTCTCTCTGTCTGTCTGTCTGTCTCTTACCCACCCACACCCCAAGTTTGGTGCTCAAAATAATAAAGATAATGCTGTTTCATAAATTATTAGAAATACACTGATACATCTTGAACAACTGAAAGCAATTTCAATTTTACTGAATATTCTAAGACATTAAAAAGTGGGCCCACTTTAGTTTCTTGAAGCCGTCTCTGTCACACTTGGGGCAGCAAAGCCACCTTGCAGCTTCATCTCTTTCGCAGCGGTCTCATCCAGAGCTGTGGTCTGACCTACTGCACCTCTCAGGGAACTCAGGGCTGGTAACCAGAAATAAGGGACATTTGTGGTTCTAAGACATGCCACCAGCCTCGCATCGTTTGTGTTCTGGACTAGCTATATTGATGCCTGCTAACTGTAGGTCATTTGGTGACACCTCTGCTTCTACTCTGCAGACGTTACCAATGCCTGCATCCTCAAAGTTTCCTGATACTATCAAATGTCACTGAGGTGTGGGTGGGTTGGAATCAAATACAGCTGAGAACAAATGGTCTGAGTGCAAAGTAAGAAACAGTTCCAGCAATAGTCTTTCATTGGCACATGAGGTATTTTGGGGAAGGAGTCTTTCCTAGCAAAAAGGAGTAAATATAGTTCTAAAATTCCTATCCCAGTCAAAGCAAAACTCTTCTTAATCCCTTTGTGCACATATGTGTGCCCTGGGGTTAGGCTGGAGCTGTGTACACGCTATACATGCTAAGCACATGCTCTACCACTTCGCTCTACCTGCAGTCCCTTATCTTCTGCCCCGGTCATTCCACATCTGATTTCCAATGCAATAAGGACTCCTCTGCTCATACCCAACCTGCTTCCTTGCAAATATTTCCTCTCTCATTCTTTGTAGTATTTTTATACTTCTGATTAAGTTTACACTCGAAAGGCTCCCATCCAGAGATCTGAGTGCTATCACTGGGGGATGGCAGTGACAATTTGATTGCCCCCACTGACTGCTCTGTTGTTGAACTAGGTCTCTCTCCTTTGCCAAGCAACCACAGCCTGGAAGATAAGTACTTTGAAAGAATGACCTTTTACTGAATGAAAAAACAAATCCAGGAAGCAGGAAAACAAAACTCCTGTAAATAATGCATTGTGACCCCTTCTATATAGCTGGGCTTCACTGTGTATCTGGTACACCTCTGTGCGGGTTCTGTAAGGTCACTGTCACAGGACTGGGAAGAGGCCTTAGAAAACTGCTACCCAAGAGGAGATGCTCCCCTGTACATTTCAACAGCTTCCGATCTGCACTGAGCCTCCCACTGAGTCAACTTACACTATTGACTTTTATTGGGTCCTACTCTATACTACAGAATTATACATTATATGGCTCTGGAGTGGTGCTTTTCAACCTCTGAGTCTCGACCCCTGACAAACCTCTATTTCCAAAAATATTTCCACTACGATCATAACCGGTGCAAAATTATAGTTATGAAGTAGCAATAAAAATAATTTTATTGTTGGGGGGGTCACCACAGCATGAGGAATTGTATTAAAGGGGCGTGGCGTTGGGCAGGTTGAGAACCGATGCTCTGGAGAGAAGTAAAGCACCTACACGTAGATTATCTTCACATAAATATACATGTTTCAGTGAGGGAACTCCCTTTACATAAAGACCCAAATGGTAATTTCCTCCGGTGACCATGACAAATGGCCTCAGCCTCCGTTAATCGAGCCAGGAATATTTGGATCCCTGGATGATAGTTAGAACTCCGCACATTTCCCCTCCAGGTTTGGCTACTAGGAGAACAGACACAAATTCTTTGCAACTATCCTAATAATTCCTGGTCTTTTTTCACTAGTGCCAGAGATGGAACCTAGAGCCTGACTCAGGCTCCATCTCCATTTCCTTCTTCATCCTTTTTGTGTTCTTGGTTCCCAGGCCTACCTAATGCTGAATTTGCTCAATAATGGAAGTTTTTCTTGCATAAATTTTGATGTTTGTTTCAGACTTGTTGAACACAGAACACAGATATATATATATCTGTGTTCTGTGTTCTTCATACCCCATCAAACTATATTAAGACCGATGGTTTATACAAGTGAATAATATTTGGCACAAAAGTCACAAGAGGGGAAACTGACAGGTTTATATTCAAAGGTATGGTTTATAATAAATGATATGAACCAATATCTAGGCCAGAACTAATTTGTCTCCCGTTCCAATTCCATTCTAGTTGCGAGGGAAACTAAACTTGATCCAGTTACTGTGGGCTGGGGTTCGGTCTTGTGAAATTCACTGAAATGGTTAGGCTACAAACCATACACTCCTCCATAAGCCTGGGGCGTCCCACACATGGCCATTTCCTCTTTATTCCCCTAAGCTGGCTCTTAGGTGGGTGCCTGCCCTGCATTTTTGACGTTGGCGAGGCTGGACTTCCTGCGCTCATCTAAGCTTGGGGCTCCGCTCTGGCCTCCGCTGCCGGAGCGCTTCTGTCCTCCGGCTTCGGGGCCTGGGCCGGGCTGCTAGCGGCGCCGGCCACACCTTCGCGATCCATCTTCCGCACCTGCCGGTGGGTCACGCGCGCAGCCCGCCCTCCTCCAGGATCGGGCCCCCGCCCGCCCAGCCAAGCCCAGCATCCCAGCCCCGTCCCCGCCCCGCCGTCCGCACGCACCCACTTGTTGGCCCGATGGAAGAAAGTGTACAGGGCCACCTGGCTGGCCACGTCCACGATGCGACTGATGTAGGGGTCGTGGCGCCGCAGAGCCGCCAGGCTGATATCATGCCCCTTCCCGGGCAGCCCACTAGCCGCCGTGGCCGCCATCTTCCCACCCGCCCTCTTGCCGGCCTCCAGGAAGCCCCCTCAATCGACCGCCGAGCGAGCGACCGCAGCGGGGCGACCTTCCGGCTCTTGGGGATCCAGGCTAGGCTTCGCCAATCGACGGCCGGGTCCTCTCGCAGGATCGTCGTCCTGGCAACGAGAAGCCCGGGTTGGCTTAATGAAGCCGATTTTTTCCGCTATTTCTTCCTTCAGGAGCCTTCAAGCAGTGTGCATTTCCTTCTTGGATGTGGCTCACCCCTTGGCATAGCTCTTCGATGACAAACAATCAAACATAATAACTCCAACAAAGAAGAACTCTGGGCCAGATTCTTAAAGTGTGCACCCCAAAATCCGTGAGGGATTCCTTGAGCCACTCAGAAGCCTGGAATGTTAAGACTGTCTACGACAATGCTGAGACATGTGTGATGTGTGCACACTGAGGACCTGTGCACATCGATACTGACCCAAGACAGGTCCCAAACTGAACCACCACACCACCAGTCAGGTGTTTTTTTTTTTTTTTTTTTTTTTTGTTTGTTTGTTTTGTTTTGATTTTTTTGTTTTTGTTTTTGTTTTTTGCTGCTGTGCATTCACTGGAAAATGACAAGCAGCTGAAGCCAGGTGTCACTTGATAAAATTCCCAATTCTGTTAAATAATGTGGGAAAAATGGATAAAACAGAGCTATTGCACGCCATATTTCACTCTAGGAAAAATGTTCTGTGCTTGAGTTGGGCTGCATTCATGGTTGTATTGTTGGGTTTTGTTGGTTTGGGGGAGCTGGTGTTTTGAGACAGAGTCTAGTTATGTAGTCATAGAAGGCTTCTATCTACCCCCACTCCTGCCTTGGGGTCTCCGGGACTAGGATTACCGGGGTGGGCCACCGCCCAGCCCATGGGTTTTATTTTTACTTCCATAGAACATTAGTTTATAACAAAAGAAAGAAGGGCAATCTGTGGTTATTCAGATAGATACTGGATATGCTTTTTCTTTTTAAAAAATTCTTTATTTTATATTCTCAAGACAGGCTTTCTCTGAGTAGCCCTGCTGTCCTGGAACTCATTCCATAGACCATGTTAGCCTCGAATTCAGAGATCTGCCCTGCCTCTGTTCTCAAGTGCTGGGATTAAAAGCATGTGCTGCTACCATCTGGCTCTGGACAGACTTTTTGAAAACTAAGATTTTTCCTGTCACTTCCAAGAAAACAAGGGATACTTATTGTTGCCAATGATATTTTTTTAGATTAATTTTAAGAAATAGGCCAAGACCTTGACAGTGTCTCAATACTTAAATCTTTTCTGGTGAGATCAGCAGTGATATTAATGAGTTCACTTTTAAAAATTACCATCTAATGTAAACTGTCAGCATTTAAAAGATATCTCTCTGTGACTCAATATTTTTCCAGATAATAAAATGGTATCACAAAATCATGTATCAGTAAGAGACCCACTCAAGGTCAAGGTGGACCAATAGACGTCAAGTGCCACAAAATATGAGAAGCTGATAGATAGGATTCCTAAGAAACTGAAATTTGTTAACTTTTGATATATCGTTGTGGTGGTTTGAAAGAAATGGCCCCCCAAAGGAAGTGGCACTATTAGAAGGTGTGGCCTTGTTAGAGAGAGTATGTATGTCACTGTGGAGGCCAACTTTGAGGTCTTATGTATGCTCAAGATACAGCCCAGTATCTCAGTTCACTTCCTGTTGTCTTTGGATCAAAATGTTAAGTAAGGACTCAGCTCCAGCGCCATGTCTGCCTGCATTCTGCCTTGCTTCCTGCCATGATGATAATGTAAGCAAGAGTTGTCATGGCCATGGTGTCTCTTTACAGCAATAGAAACCCAAACTAAGACAATCATCCCAGAATATTCATGGCTACCTGAAAAAGGTATAAGGATGTATCCCTTATACAATTATATTCTCTCTGAGGCCAAGGCTTGTTCACATATGTGAAAGAAGATAATAATGGCAGCAGATTGTAGGTAGAAACAAATACCATCTTCATTGTCTACTAAGCCAGATAGGAAAGATTTTTAAAAAATGTATACTGTTTTTCTTACATTTTTATGAGGAGATAATTATTTTTCATGAATTATATCTGTATTTAAAAGCTTTATGTTAGTTTTATTTTGTGAGATTTTTTTTTTTTTTTTTGAGATGGCTTACGTAGCCAATGCTAATCTAAAACTTACTATATAGTCAAGGTTGACCTTGCACTGTGGATCCTCCTGCCTCTCCCAGCTTACTATCTTTCATTTACTTGTTTATGTGTGATTGTGTATTCATACATACATACATACATACATACATACATACATATATATATATTCAAATGTGTGTGCAGACACATATGGACATGTGGGGAAGACAAAGGTTGACCCTGGGTACCTTCCTTGATTGCTTGCTACCTTGTCTTTTGAGATGGGGTCTTTCTCTGAACTAGGGCCCTTATATCTGTTTTTAAAAATTTATAGCAATGCCGTTAATACAAGTGCTTGGGATGCAGAGACAAATGAAGGCATGAGGGCTGGCTTAGTAGTTAAGAGCACTTTGGCTTTTGCCAAGGACCTGGGTTTGATACCAGGTATCCACATTTGGAGGTTCACAACAATCTGTATTTCTAATTACAGGGGATCTCAGGCCCGTTTCTGGGCTCCAAGCACCAGGTGTGCAGCGAACACACATACACACAAGCAAAAAAAAAAAAAAAAAAAAAAAAAAAAAACCCCACAAACTAAAAAAATTCATCAAAATAGTATTATCTCTTTGTGTATATGATATGTATGTAGTGTATATGTGTGCCTGTTTACATGTGTAAGTGTGTGTGAGCACAGACACATGATTGCACATGGCCTGCCTTGTACAGTCCTTGCCTCCTACCTTGTTCGAGGCAAGATTTCTTGTTCAGTGCTATATACACCAGGCTAGCTTGCCAACAAACTATGGGGATTTTTCTGCCTCTGCTTCCCATCTCACCATCAGAGTCTGGGATTACAGAGAGGCACTTCCACACTCAGCTTTGTGGGGTTCAGGGGATTTGAACTCAGGTTCTCCAAGTTGTGTGATAAACACTTTTTCCACCGAACCGTCTTGCCAACCCATTCTACTTGTATTATAAATGAATGAATTCTTTGTAGTTATCAGCTTTAATTATAGTACAATGACATAACTCACATAAATGAAACTTCTTTGAGAGGATTCTTAATAATTCACTAAGTATAAAGCCTTGAGACTAAAAGGTTGAGAACCATTTGCTTTGCATTAAGAAACCCTAAGCCCACATTTATGAATTCTGACCTAATTGGCAGAAATAGGAGCTTAAGTGGCCTTGCAAAGCAATAAATGACAATACAATTTTTATAGTTACAATTTTCTTTTTATTGACGTTCATGGTTAAACTCCATTTTGAATTGTCATTCCTGTCAAACTAAAGTTTAGCCTCCCAGTGCAGGAGAGTACAGCGGGACTTCGAAGAAGCTTTAAGCCTGGGCTTGAGGCTCATTGGCAGTGTGGACATACATTTATATGTTAGTGTAATGGTTAGGGCTAATTGTCAACTTGACAGGCTCTGGAATGGCCCATGAGGGACGCTTCTCAGCACACCTGTGCGGTGTTAGCTAGTTAGTTCCTGGGCGCGCTGTGGGGAGTTATCTTGATGAGGTCAGATGGGGTGAGACGAGCAGCAGTCAGGTGGTTCCATCACCAGGGTTGAGATCCTGGGCTATAGAAGATGGAGAAGGTGAGTTGATTTTATATGAGCTATGACTGGCTGCTGCAGACTCCTGCAGATTTCTCCACCACTTACCCTTGAATTGTGAAATGAACTAAACCCCGTCCCCTTGAGTTCCTTTTGTCACAGTCACAGAAAAGGAAACCGAAACGACTGGTATCTTATATTAACTAAAATTTTTATGAAATAATACTGCTTTAGTCAAGGTTCTCTAGAGGGAGAGAACTGACAGGCTAGGATGAGCTCACCTGTGTGTGTGTGTGTGTGTGTGTGTGTGTGTGTGTGTGTGTGTGTGTGATTTATTAAGTCAGCTTACATGAAGACAGTAATAAGAGTTGTCTCACATCGGAAGGCTGAGAACCCGGTAGTTGCTCAGTGCATGAAGCTCGGTGCCTCATGAGTCCTGACACGGCACTGAGCACCTGGGTGCCTGGGCAGCTGCTGCTCCTTACTCAACAATGGGAGCCTGGGAACTTTGCTTCTCCTATCACTACCAGCGGCAAAATCAACTCAGCAAACAGGGAAGGCCAGCAAACAAAAGAAATAATCTCCCTTCTGCCACACCCTCTTTTATCTGGGCTGCACATGGAAGGTGCTGCCCACACTTGGTCCAATCAATCAACCAATCAGGCAAGGCAATCGGGAAAATCCTTCAGTTCATCTTGAAGAAACATTGAGTTTATTGGGGTTACTTACAGAGCATGGGTGAGGGGTCACTGGCTGGAGCACGGATGACCTTGAAGCAGTAGCATTGCGAAGTTGTTACCCAGCCTTGATGGTGTCGGGGCATCCTCACAGTCACCTAGATGAAGCTTTCTTACTTGATTCTTCCCTAGTCTGTATGCTCTAGTCCCCTCATGAGACTCTAAGGCCATATGCATTAGGACAAAATTGCACATAAATGACTGAGAGGAATGGCCAATGAAGGTCCAGTGATCTACTCTGGCCCTTCTTTCTGGAGGGAATGTCAATAATCCACAGGCCTAGCTGGGATGGACTCTCACAAGTAGACACACAGCCTTGAAAACAGTGGCTGTTTTGCTTGGAGGATGGCACTGTGCAACCAAGTTTAACTTGTCATATGGGCAAAGGGGCCTCTCACGGTTAACTCTGGAGCCCTCTCTCAGTGTTTCTGCTTTTGTTCCCTTGGAGGGGCACACAGATTCCGTTGTGTTTTCCTCACCAAGGGTAGTGTGGCACTCCTTACTCTTTTCTTAGCTTCCCCCATCGTTTCCACAGATCGTTTTCCTCTTCAGTTTTCAGTCCTTCTATGTTTCAGGTGAGACGAACAGACCCTGCTTTCCAAAGAACAGACTGCCCTGGGCTCAATAGAGAGGTCAGGCAATGCAGGAGCCATCACAACAGTGGTTCTCAGCC